CACCGCCAATGCCACCGTCGAAACCACATGATCAAAGTGTTTCTACATGAAACTTCCTATCAGAAGTAAGTTGGTTGATAAAGCTGAGAATTCAAGTGGAGCAATTGGAGCAAGTCTTTCTACTAATGCATTTGGTTTATTGGTTGAAAATATTGCTACAACTATAGTTGGCTTTGTAATTGCTTTTGTAGCTAGCTGGCAGCTTGCTCTTATAATCCTTGCTATGGTGCCTCTACTAGCACTAAATGAATTTTTTTCAAGTGATGTTCTTGAAAGGGTTTAGCACAAACGCAAAGAAATTATATGAGGATGCAAGTCAAGCGGCAAATGACGCATTAGGGAGTATAAGAACATTTTCTTCTTTCTGTTCTGAAGAGAAGGTGATGGAATTATAAAGGCAAAAATGTGAGGGACCAATTAAGAAAAGAATAAGTCGAGGGATACCTGTTGGAGCGCGTCTTGTTGAGGATGGAAAATCTTCATTTTCATATGTTTTCTGCATCTTGTTTGCTTTAAGCATGGAAACTATAGGACTTTCTTAATTCGAGTCGTTGATACCTGATTCAACTAAGGCCAAAAGTGCAGTTGCTTCCATATTTGTTATTCTTGATGGAAAATCACTCATAAATCCAAGTAATGAATCAAGAATGACATTTGAAGAAGTCAAGGGAGAAATTAAATTAAAGCATGTAAGTTTCAAGTATCCTACTAGACTTGATATTCAAATATTCAGAGATATTTTCTTGAACATTCATAGTGGCAAGATAGTTTCACTTGTTGGAGAAAGTGGGAGTGGAAAATCAACAATGATCTCATTAATACAAAGATTCTATGATCCAGATTCAGGTCACATTACACTTGATGGAGTAGAAATCCAAAATTTGCAAGTGAAATGACTAAGACAACAAATAGGACTAGTAAGCCAATAACCTGTATTGTTTAATGATACTATCAGAGCCAATATTGCATATGGAAAATGTGGAGATGCATCTAAGACAGAGATCATAGCTGCAGCAAAATCGACAAATGCTCGTAAGTTCAGTAGTAGTTTGCAGAAGGGTTACAACACAATAATTGGCGAGAGAAGAATACAGTTATTTGGGGGACAAAGGAAGCGTGTGGGAATTGCGAGATAATGTAGTTACGGAACACTTGATGTTGAAAAAGTTAAGGGTAAAATAGTGGTATGCCTGGAAGATGAATATCGTGAAACATTTAATGCAGGCGCAGAAGCTTTTTCTGCAGGAATAATAGGAATGATTTTGGATAGTGAAATTGATAGTAGCTTGGTTCAGAAGAATGATATGATTAAAATTATTCCAGGTGCAAAAGTAGCATTATATGGTTTAGTAGTTTGGAGATCAGAGTGTTGTACGCCATATCAAACCGCATTCACAGGTTGCGCTCCCACAGATTTACTCGAGAGTCCAACTTTTATGACTGAACCTTAAGAACAAGGTTCCATGTGAACCGAGTGACAATGATAAGAGTATTAAATTAGTTTTTACAGCATTAAAGTATTTAAGTTAAAAGTTGAAATTATATTAGTTGAGCTTTTATTGTTTAGTTGGGCTTTTTAGCCTTTAAGTCTTTTACTTTATTATCCATCACTAAGTCTATATATGTACTCTCATTGAGAGAGTGAAAACGAATGAATGAAAAAGATGTTATTTACTTTTCTTATTTAGTTTTTTTGTGTTCTTTTCCCTTTTCTATTACAAACCCTAACTTCCTTTTTTTTCTTATAAAAAAAGTAAATAACATCTTTTTCATTCATTCCTTTTCACTCTCTCAATGAGAGTACATATATAGACTTAGTGATGGATAATAAAATAAAAGACCCAAAGGCTAAAAAGGCCAACTAAACAATAAAAGCCCAACTAAGATAATTTCAAGTTGTAACTTAAATATTTTAATGGTGTAAAAACTAATTGAGTACTCCTATCAACTTTCGTACTATTTTATGACAAAATAAGAGTGACTCACTTATGAATTATTGTGTTGTCTATTTTTGGTGCATCTGAAAGTGTATTTCCGTATTTGAGGAGACATTTATGATTTCTTACGGAGGTGTGTGAGCACCACTGAGGGTGCAACACGCAATTTTAAAATCATAATAGATAGGTATATGTATATTTAATAGGATGACAATTTGAGGGTACCACAAATAATACTCATTATAAGCACAGTTAAAATCTGTAAAATGGATACGAGCATGAATTCATGTAATTATTCATTAAAATAAATGGCTATGAGTGAAGATATACACACCTTAGTATCCACCCACTCAATATATATTATATATATTTTTATCAATTTAAAAAAATATTAATTTTAAACCATTACACATTTAACACGAGTGTTCATTTATTTTATAATTCAACAATAATTTTTTAAAATATTTCGTTCGTAAAATTTTAAAATAATATAATATTTTACAAATGATTTATTTATTTTTATTAGAATCGAGGATAAGAGATACACGTATGAGTACCTATATATCTATTAGGGAAAATACTCTTTTTCATCCCTTAACTTTGCCTCGGGATCCATTGTGGTCCCTTATTTTTTTAAAAGTGCAAAACAATCCCTTAAGTCTTAAAAATGGAGCACTTGAGTCATTTCTGTCTGTTTCCTCCAAACAGACGTTTATGAATGACGATGTGGCAGATGTTCTTCTTCTTTTTCCTTTCTTCACACGATTTTGCAGCAAATATCTCAATACCTCACATGCTCGAACCAAATTCCATAACAGATTCACAAAATATCTACATTACCTCACACATATTTCACTCCCCCCCCTCCACACACTCATATCAATTCTAATTCAATTCATATAAAGTTGATTATTCACTCACTCATTCCTACACACTCTAACAATTGAGAAAAACCTTCGATTCACATAACAATTGACAACATTGAGGGGAATTTTTGCCTCTGCAACCTTTCTAAAAAGCAACTCAGAGCTCCATTATAGAGTAGCTTCAGCTTCTCATTGAAGCTTTAGCTGATTGAGCTAAGCCCCATTCCATCAATAATACAGAACTACAAAAGCAGCAACATACACAGAAAATCACAAGGAAAAGAGAAGAACCATAAGGGAGTTGAAGAAAAGATTCGAACCAGTGGAAAAAGAAAAAGGAATTGGAGATTGCCTGATTTCTTTTTTCAACAAAGCAACTTAAATTATGATTGGGTACTTCTGGAGTTTACTTCTTGTTTTTCATGCTTGTTTAAGGTTGTTGTTAGCTCGATTTCCACTTCCCATGTTAGATTTGCTTGTAATTTGACAAATTAACGAAATTGGGGTTAGGGTTTCTCCGGGTTGAGGGTCAGGTTCGTTTGATTCATTGGTTTTTATGTTGTTTTGATGTTTGATTCATGCTAAGGGTAAGGATTTAGGCAAGTTTGTGGTTATAGTTTTAGGTTTTGATTGACTTTTTGTGAAATCTGGGTTTGGAAAGTCTGAACACTCAAATTGAGGAAGCTGAGAAAGCAATTGAGGAAACAGACGGAAAAAGAAGAAAGGAAAAAGAAGAAGAAGAACCATGTCACCTGCCACGTCTCATTCACAAAAGTCCGTTTGGAGGAAACATACAGAAGGACAAACGTGCTCTGTTTTTAAGACTTAAAAGATTATTTTGTACTTTTTAAAAGATAAGAGACCAAAATAGATCCCAAGACAAAGTTAAGGGACGAAAAATGATATTTTCTCTATCTATTAAATACATATATGAAGATAAGAACTACACATATAAGTACATACATATTCATTGAATACATATATTCATTGAATACATATATTCATTGAATATATGCACGAATGCTATCAAGCGAGATTATTTCAAATCGGAGAAAATACCTCTTTGGATTTACATATTTTTTTTATCAATTTTAAAAAAACATTAATTTTAAACCATTACATATTTAATATTTAATATGATTGTTTGTTTATTTCATAATTCAACAATAATTTTTTAAAAAAACTTCATTCCTAAAATTTTAAAATAATATAATATTTTACAAATAATTTATTTATTTTTATTAGAATTGCAAATAAGAAATACATGTACGAAGACCTATATATATCTATTATTAAATACATATATGAAGATAAGAGCTACACGTATAATTATATATATATATATATATATATATATATATATATATATATATATATATATATATATATATATATATATATATATATATATATATATATATATATATATATATATATATATATATATATATATATATATATATATATATATATATATATATATATATATATATATATATATATATATATATATATATATATATATATATATATATATATATATATATATAATTATATATATATTGAATACATGTACAAATGCTTAACAAACAAGATTTATCATATTTTTCTTTTTTTGTTTCTCAACTTTGGTTTGGATTCCATCCTATTCTATTAGTCATAAATTTACCATTTACATTTTTTCCACCTAAATAACAATAACCCGGACTTTACACTTGAAACTTTAATTACCTTACCAAAATAATCAAATTTAAACTCCATGAAACGTAATTGAACATTAAATAACAATACTTAAAACGTATACATCTTCATTATTTCCATCTTAAGTCCAATACCAAAATATTCAAACTCCATCCAAATCATCATTACCACTAAAGTAACGCTCAAAATATTTTCTCTAGAGAACGTAACTTAGTTTTGATTTATCATTATTTCCCCATTTTTATCCATGAATCTTTGCTACTTTCATTACTACTACTAACACTTACGTTACTTTTCTTCGGGTCCCACATCGGAAAAACAATAATTCAAAGCCCATGGTTTTTTTTTTCCTTTTCTTTCTTTTATTAATTATTTTCCTTTCCCTCCTTTTTTTTTTCTCCATACAATAAAATAACAATACAACAAAATCGATACTCTAACGCTTCTCAGAAAATTCACCTTCACTTCATCTTCAAGATTGTAAAATCGTAAAACGATGTCGTTAGATCCAGCTCAAACCGCCACAACCGTCACAACCGCTACAACGTCACGGCCTATTTCGCCATTCCCAAATCCAAACTCGAAACCGCATCATCACTACACATCGCATTCACATCAGCATCAGCAACATCAACAGCAACCGCAACAGCAGCAACAACAAACCCTTCCGCTTCGTACTCCAATTCCGTTTCATTACCCGTTCCCTTCTCCCTCACGCGCCGCCGCTAATCACGCTGTTGGCGGTTATCCGCCTCCGGCTCCTCCTCCTCCGCTTTTGTATTCTCACGGAGGTGGTGTTCGCGGTATGAATTTGGATTATTTAAGTCATGCCTTGCACGTGACTAGGCCGCTCTCGCACGTGCAGTTTCCTCATCTTGCTGCTGCTGCTACTTCCTCGCCTACAGTTAAAGGACACATCAAGGTTTTGTGAATTTCGACTTTGAAGCTCTTTTTTGGTGTTGATTTTTTGAATTGTGTTAAAATTGTATTATGTGAGGGTAAAAACGAGAACGAAATATTGGAATTAAATGATGATTATGGATTTTCCTTTTTGTTATGAGGTGCGGTTTAATTCTATTTAATTGTATAAATTGGATTTATTGTTCGTGGATGGTGAATTCCATTGGAAAATTTGCGGTTTGTGAGCGTTTCTTGTTCTTGTTGTTATTTTGATCTGGAATTTTTAAGTGTTTTTTTCAATGAAATTTTCTTTGGGTTTTGTTTTAGGTTACTGGTAGATCTGCGGTTTCAGATGTCAATGGGCATAAAGACACAAGTGCGAGGTAAATTTCTTTGGATGAGGTGTGGTGTATTTAAATTGGTGTTTTGTCATCTTTTATTTTGGTTATGGAGTTGGATTGATGTTTCTGATGTGTTTTTTAGGGAAAGAAGCAGAGATGACACACTTACTGTTGTTAGAGACCGAAAAGTGAGCCCTAATTCTCTTACTTCTCTCTCATAGCCAAGTTTGTATATCTACAATTACTATTGAGCTGTTAATGAATTAATTTGCGTTTGTGATTTGAAAGTATCAATAGATTGTAAATACTGTCTTGATTTAATTTTGAAACATCTTGAGAATTGCATATCCTTGTTACTACTATTCACATCTATATTACAGTGTCCTTATCTTATTTTGACTTTATTGTTTATGTTTCTTTCTAAGGTTAAAATGTCTTTGTGATATGTCAACAGTTGTAAACTGAATTGATAGAAAAACATAAAATAATATTGTAGGCGTCATAATAGCATATCATAAAGTACTAACAATATGATATCCTAAGTCTTATGGGAAAAAATGAGAACAGAGAGTAAGGTGAAGATAATAACATGGGTGATGACCTAAGGAAAAAATTGCAAAATGAAAAAGGTAACCTCAGAAATGACGAGATGATTGTAAAAGAAAAAGATGAGAACTGACCATAGGAAAAAGTTAACAGAAGGAGATAAGAAGAAAATTTGAAAGAGGAGATAATAAAATTTATAAAAGTAACAGAGTAACTAGGATAGGATGCAGAACAATAACAAAATAAATTTGAAAAGGAAGATGATTTGTTCACTGGAGAAGGATGCTCATGCTCTCCAGAGAATGGAGGTTGTCGGATGCGAGAGAAGGTCCTGTGGAAGTTGCCGAAGATGGGAGGTTAAGAAAAGAGATCGACAAGGAGTTGAATTGTAAGTAGTGTATGAGAATGAGATTGCAAAAGTGATCAAACTTCAGACTTCAGAGGTTTTACGAATGGGTCACCAGTTCCTTGTTGAGTTAGGCAGTCCACCCTCTTTTGCCATTGGTCTCATGAGAGTCATGGCTACCATAATCTTCGAGAGAACCCAACAGTGCCACACATTGTGTATAATGTATGGCTGGTTATTGAAACTCTGCTAAGCCATGGCACCATAGTGCTGCAATGGCGGCAGCCTGCTAGCATGATTTCATTTTCTCCCTGTGATTTTGCAGGTATCATGTAGAACTCCAACCACTGATCTTCCCACCTAGTTCACTTGCCAAATTGGCTCTATAACTCTTCATTTTGTCTTCTTTCATTCTAGTTCTCAGTAGAGGAGAGAAATCCCTAGCAAAATAACTAGTGAAGTAAAGATATGGAGATTAATGATTCATTTGTCATGTACATTATAAATTGATAGACGTATATTGTGTTTCCAGTGAGAGCTGGTATTGATTTTTGAGAAAATTATGTGGTAAATGCTAATAAGTTTTTGAATGCAAATAACAGTGTTGTTCAGTTGTGGCATTGTGGTGTGTTAATTTTTTTGACAAAGCACCATTTGATGGCCATGGCATGGTGGCAATCAGATGGTGGCTGTTATTCGCGTGTATGGAAGTTCTGGTGGTCATTGAGAAAATATCTTCTATTTTCCTAAAAAAGACAAAAGAGATGGGTATAGGTGATTTGTTTCAAAACTCTAATGACCTCTCTAGTCCATAATGAACTGAAAGAATCTTTAAAGACCCATCAAACCCTAACGAATCTTGTATAGGTTCTAATACCATATTTAGTTCTTATATTTAGACTATTTTATCCTTACAAACATACTTGTATGGTGAAGGATGCTTCCCACTTTTAAACTTACTTTAGACCATATATCTCATCCACATTTGAGACTTCCAATTTCAGCAATATTTAATAATGGTGAAGCTACAGTGAAACTGAAGTATAAGATTACATTACAATGGGACCAAGAGAGAGATAAGATTCTAATCTTGTAAGAAAATTTTATAATTAACATAAGTCAAGTAATAAAATAGTTTCAATTTATGTCCCCCCTTGCTCTTGTGCTTTTACTTATTTTTAATTATGTTTTGGTCAGCTGCCTGCTGATGATTGGGTAGACTTTGAGGTGCCAACATAGTTGGGAATTTGGGATTTCAGCCTCTATTGATATCCTTGCTAGTCAATCTAGTTATTGTAAACAAAAATATCAATTCTATCAAAACTTAAAACAAATGAGTCATAAATATTAAGCCCAAAGGATTTTTAATATTTCTGCTTTCTCTTGTGATATTTTTCTTTTTCTATTATGTTAATTATGATGTATTTCAAAATTTTAGGTCAGACTAACAGAGGATGCTTCTCTATATGCTCTCTGTAGATCATGGTTGAGAAATGGTGTAAATGAAGAAAGCCAGGTACCCCCTTCTGAATTTAAGCATGTAATAATGACTTACTATATTATTCTGTTAATCTAGTATGATCTTGATGAAATGATACATACATGCTTTGCTGATTTTGAAAACAACATCAGCTATTCCAAATCATTGCTATAATAGAACTTTCATTTTATATGTTGTGCACTGAAATTACTGCTAATCAATAAGTTTGTTTTGAGTGAGACTTGATAATTGTTTGGTTACATCTTGTCCTTTATACATTAATTACGTGTTCGCAATTTTCAATAATTTTCAATGAAGTTAAGCTTTATCTGCATAAGCTTGGCTTCATTGTAAATGCGTGATATTTTCTATCGTTTAGCATTTTTGGAATCAAAGAAATTAGTAAATATTTAAGAATTAGAATTAAGTAGTTTCTTTTGGCTAATTTATGCGCTTTTCCTATGGGACTCAATGCTTCCACTAGTAATGCATTGCAATAGGGTTTAAATCAAGGGTGAAGCATGACATGCTTCAATTTTAACTAGACTATGAAGTTGGGGTTCTAAATGGGTGGCATTGCGGCCACCGTGAAGGTAACAGACATGGCAGTGCAACAGAAAAAGCGGAAAAGACTTCTTTTATTTCTTCTAAAAACAGAAAAAAACGTGGCTTGGGTCATGTGAATTCATCCCGGGCTCAAAATGGGCTAAAATTCTCAGCATTTTCTCTTTACACCCTTATACAATGGGACACACCTCTGAAAATCCCAAAATCCCTTTGGGTTTATTCGGGGATGCATCTCCGAACGTACCAAATACCATTTTTTGCTAAATTATAGTTCGGAGATGTATCTCTGAATTAATCTGAGGCAAATTCGCAGATACATCTCCGAAGTTACCTTTCTTCCTTAGTAAATTAAACATCTACCACATTTCTTAAGAAAATAGTTCGGAGATGTATCTGCGATTTTGGTGAGGAGAATTCGGAGATACATCTCCGAATTCTACCTGGATGTTTCTTTTGCAGAAACAGTGTAACCGGATTGTAGTTTTTTCAATCCAACATAATTTTAAATCGATTAACATTGTCATTATTTGTTTCGAAGATTAATGAACATGAATGTTATAACAGAGTAATGCGTCAATTAATCAGAAAGACAATCATAGTACAAAAATTGTTCTCTAAGTCAATGAAAATTATACAAAATACAATCTAGTGCATAATCTACTGAGTATGCCTAATCCTAACACTCCGACTCCTCCTATGCCTACGGTAACCCAAGGCATTCCTCTGCATAATCGCCACCTCTCTCAAACAGCCCATACTCGATGCCATCTTCGGTCATCTGCATAATGTTCTGACAGATCAACAACACATCAATGGCATGATCATTCATGGCCTGCTCATTCTCCAGGATCTCTTCATGAGCAGGTCTAGGTGGATGTCCAGGAGTGTCTAGTGTCATGTAAGGGTTTGATACAGAGTAGAACAAATTCATGTAACCCTCAACATAACTCCACTCAGATGTGGCTTCCTGACTCCGATATTTCTCCGGTACCAGACGACTCTCGAAATCCGTCAGAATGTCATCCAGCTGTCTGCGGACAATGCTTAGAGGAGAAGCCTGGAAGGGGAACCTCTAGATGATCTGCACATATCCAAATTGCCGCATGCACCGCTCTGGCAGATACCTGCACATGATATTATTAGTCTCACATGCCAGTCATTCAGAGTACTCTCTCTGTCCCAAAATAAGTGTCTCTTTAGCTTAAAAAATTTGTCCCAAAATAAGTGTTGTTTTACATTTGCAATGCAACATTAATTGATTTTTACCAATTTTATCCCTAATTAATTATGTCTGCACTACTCTCAAGGCATTAAATTTCACTTTGCTTTTATGACAATGTAAAAGTAACCAATAATCATTAAGGACAATTTTATAAATGTGTTATATTTATTTTTTCACTCATTGCTTTTTTTAATCTGTGTGCCACAACCTTAAAAAACTTTTATTTTGGGACGGGGGAGTATAATAAAATGTGGTCGAAAGGAATTCTATCCCGGTGAGTAGTGTATGGCATCCAGACGATATCATCATGCTTAGTCCGGTTAATATACACATGGAACGACACCCGAACATCATTTCCTCTGCGTGGGAGGTATAGGCAAGCACGTGGGTAATCCTCGGTATACGATGGCTCAAGCCCAAACCTGTGAATGCGGTGATAGTGGGCAGGGATCTATCTTTGAAAACGAATAAGAAAAAAATATTAGTAACAAGAGTGAAAAAAAGTTGTTTTTAAATGAATAGTGGGATTTGGAAATTATCCTAAGTAAGGTGCATGGGTCTATCATTTGCTTTGTCGTCCAAAGAGAACCTTCGCTCAGCTTGCAGTACATGTATGTATACCAAGCATGCGACCCTCCATCTCTCAGCAAATGCCGCCTGCATGCCATGACTGATGATGTTGTACCCGAAAGCACAAACCTGCAAGACCGGAGTGCACTTTGGAACCACTCATCTTGAGACTGAAAAAGATGGTGAATCTTTCTGGCATGATTCACAGATTTCAATCACTTACGTTCCTGTTAAAAAGAAAATATAACAATCTCATTCGAATTGAATTTGGTTAAGATATAATAAATAGCACCGTTAAGAAATATAACACTCTGTCCCAGATATGCGGAGTCACATGATCTCCAAAGTATATAAGTAATGAAATGTTCGTGGGCCCTCCTGAAAAAGGGTCTACAAGTGGGGCCTCCTGTGCAGCTGGGGCCTCCTCCTCATGGTGTGTACGACTCTGAGATGACGATCAACTCCTAGAGGTCGACACTTCCTTGTTGTGAATCATATGGACAGCTCTATAGCCTGTTCATGCTAACGAGCCCTCTCATGGCGAGCAGGCACGGTTAGGGTGAGACGATCCTGTCTCATCCTGTCGTTGTTCATTATTCTTGAAAAAAACATAACAAAAGAGATTAGTGCACGCAAAAGGAAAAAATTCGGAGATGTATCTCCAAACAACAAAAACAATATATTTCAGAGATACATCTCCGAAAAATACTTGTTTTTTCATTTAAATGGCAGAAACATCTCTGCCCTTGCCCCCTAACCATCCAAAAATCATCCTTTATCAACCAAATAATAGAAACAAATCCAACACATAATCTATTTTAAATGCTAATGTTATCTAATGCATTAAAAGTAACCTATTTGAGCTAATACATTAATCAAAACATAAAATAAGCTAAATGAGAAACTTACTAGAAAAATGTGTTGTTAAGGGTGTAAAATGTTGAATGCAGCTGTTAGAGGGAGTTGGGAATGTCAAGATACAAGCAAAAGATTTGAAGTTGCTTCAAAAGTTGAGGGAGAGTGTGAATTGAAAATGGGTAGAGGGAGGGAGAGAGTTTTCTAATTTTAGGTGAAAAAGGAGGAGTGAGAGTCTACTGTGAGGTTTAAATAAGTTCACCTAATTCGGAGATGCATCTCCGAATTAATTTTTTGAATTTAATAAAAAGGTTAATTTGGAGATGTATCTCCGAACATACCCTAAAATTCCTTTACAGATACATCTCTGAATTAACCTTTAGATAAAATGCAGAATTGGTGTGTCCGGAGATATATTTCCGAAAATAAGGGGCATTTTAGAAATTTCGCATGGGACTTGAGAGAACGTATAAGGATGCAATGAAAAATTCCTAAATTCTCACACATGCCCTAAAAATGGTTACTTTACCACTTTACCCTCTTTTCTTTGCGCTTCTCTCTCTACTGTCTCCCTTGTTCTCTTCTTCTACTGGGTGCGACCACCACCCAACTGCTTGCGACAACAATGGTACACCAACTGGAAAGACCACCAAGCTCTGCCCTCTTTTTTCTGCTGAGACACACAGCTAGTTTTCTCTTCTCTGTTTTCTATTTTTCTTATTCTGATCAATATTCCATTTTTTTCTTTTTACTTATATTTATTTATTTCTTTTCATTATTTTCTGAGAGTTTGAGAGGCTGTCGTGTTCGTTATTTGAAATAGTGCGTTGTATCTGTGTTCGCCGTGTTTCAATTTATTTTTTTCGTTGGACACTTCAAAAATGTGTCTGATACGTGTTGTACACGTGTTGTATGCGTGTCGGTGTCCGATACGTGTCCAGTGTGGGAACACGCCTTCTAATTGCCGTGTTGAAACTAAATAGCATTGTAGTGAAGTGGTAATCCTAAGGGGCTATAAAGCAGGCCTCAAGGTTTATTACAGTTTTTGTTTGATGCCCTTGGTTTTTTCTTCGGATGAAGTATACTGGGTTTTATTCTTAGTTTAAGAAAAAGGTTTGTCAGGATGATCTGTATGCTGTTTGGTTTCCTAAAACATTAATGGATACCTCTAACTTTTTTCTAACTGATCTTCTTAAACTTGGTTGCAAATATTTATGGCAATTATGCTTTCTTTCTTTGTAACTTTTTCATATGGCTGTGCTAAGGTTTACTATGTTATGTTATGGCCAATGGATTACTTCTTGGGGCTGAATATGTTATATGTATCTCTGCTTATTTTGATATGTTATTTGGCTTTTTATTTATTCATTTATAATTTTTTGTTTCATTATACTTGACAGCCACCACAGAAAGATGCAACGATGGCACTTCCCAAACCATTGCCTGTATCTATGGTGGATACCTGTACCTCAAACCAGAAAGATGATGAAAATGCCGAAGATGAGCAAGAAGAGGTCGGGTTTTCTGATTAACTGCCTATTAAAGTCATTTGTGAAAATGAAGTACATGGGCTTGAGACTATATTCGCGAATTGCTTAAGAAATTAGCTCCGAACCTTTTCATTTAAACAATCTATTTCAATTATTTAGAATTTCTTAATCTACATAAGTACAGGCAATCTATTAAAATATTCTTAAGATGCATGGTAGATTGGATATAGGGTATAATTAACACATGGAAAATAACCATTTCTTTGAAACTGGAGTTATTTGGTTTCAATTCTATTCTGTTATGTCTTTATCCATCCCATTAATCCATATCCTTTGAGTTGATGCACATCTCTGCTTTCAGGATGAGAAGTCTGTTGAGCACTTACCGACACAAGATCTATTGAAGAGACATATCAAGCGTGCAAAAAGGGTTAGAGCACGGTAAGTTTATTTTTAACACCTTGTTTATTTATTCTTCATCTTCTTATGATTTGTGGTCAGAACAATGCATGACTGTATTGGCAACACATTATAAACTGTTACACTTCTACCTTGAATGTTCTTGATTAACCATTTGGATTATATGAAATTGTGAATCCACATTACATTGAAACATCTGAATTACTCCAGTGTTAATTAAAAGTTAACAGGACAACTTTATATATGCGTCTGATTTACATGTTTAGTAAAGCTGTCCTGATGGAGCAAGTAATTAAGCTATCACTTGTTGTACTCATTCCTCTGGTGCACAAATCAATTCTATCTTAATAATAAACCTAAGCTACTTTTAAAGTGGAATATTTTATTTTCAGCAACTTGATTTTCAACAAGCTTGTTCATATATGTCATATGCATCAACTTTGGAACATATGTGGGAAAAATATTCGCTAGCTGTTCATTAGAAATTCCGAAGTATGTGACTCCCCAAAAAGATTTATTCTTACAGAATGTCATTCAATCTTGGCTTTTACTCTGTTCATGGAAGATTGGATCAGACTCAATATGTAATGTATGAGTCATATCGAACACATGATAGGGATCAATATCTTGCCACATATTCGGAAAGGGGTAGGCATTCTCTCTTACTGACCTGTTCCCCATGTTTAGCTGCTGTTTTTACTTTTTTCGTGATATAATTGGGTAGTGTCATTGACCTCTGAATACATACGACTCATGCGGTCCCAAATGTCCTTGGCTATTTCGAAGAACACGCAGGTATGATTGGTGTGGGTTTCATGGAATCGTATAACCCAGACATTATCAAGGTCTTCTCCATCCTATTAGTCAATTTTTGTCCTTCTTGTCTGGTCCAAAAGATGAAATATGTCCTCTGCCCTTGAGATAGATACTGTCTTATAGTTACAACTGTACCTACTTGTGTTAAGCGAACAGATTAGTATTGTTTAGAACTGTTTAGAATGCAGTTACACAAACTCTATGCTGAGTCGCTTATAATATTCCTATACCTATTAAGTTAAAGTTGGATTTCTCCGTATTTTTCTCTATAAAACAATCCCTGATTACAAATTCCTTAAAGCCTTTGGTTGTGCCTGCTATCCGCATTTAAGACTTTACGATCCTTACAGATTTGCATATCACTCAAGGGAGTGCCCATTTCTTGGTTATTCTCTAACCACACGAGCTACAAATGTCTAGTCTCTCTAATACCTCAATGAATTCAGATTCCCTACTCCGCCATGTTTCCAATAACTTCATGTCTCACAACCTGTTCAACTAATGTATCAATGCCCTTTCCTTCCAAAATACCATACTCCAATCCTCACCTCATTCTAGTCTCCCTAATACCTCACTTATTTACACATTCATCTGAACGTACATATTCAATTGAATCTGAACACTCCCTCTCCTAATCAGCCTACTAATGTAACTTCTTACCAAAACATCACTTCAATTTCACTTAAACATCACAGTGCAGACTCATTAACTCCTGAATACCCTACCCCAGCCACTTCACTTGTGTCCTCGGCTCTTCTACTATTGTGCATAACTTCTCTGCTGTCCCTTTTCAACCTTACAAAATTCACCCTCACCCTACTCACTCCATGACCACTAGGGGAAAAGATGGCATAATTCAACCTAGAGCACATCCCACACTTCTGCTAACTGAAATTGAACCCACTTCTGCTAACTGAACTTGAACCCACTTCTTACAAACTGGCATTTAAGAGTCTAAAGTGGCAGTCAGCTTTGCAGAATGATTACAATGCCCTCAATAACAACAATAGTTGAACTCTCAGCTCTCTTCCTACAATAGGTTAGGTGTCAATGGCTCTTTAGAGTATAACAAAATCCAGATGAATCTATTCTGGCTTGTTGCAAAGGGATTTCATCATCAGCAAGGACTTAACTTCCAAGAGACTTTCTCTCCGGTAGTCAAACTTGTTACAAGAAGAATTGTACTCACACAATGGCATATCACCCAATTGGATGCGAACGATGCTTCCTAAATGCCTTCCTAAATGATATTATATCTTGCGCCAATGAGCTGTCGGTACTTTGGTCCTCTATATGCAAGCTATTAGAAGTAAAGGTTATAGAACGGTCACAAGTATGAGTGAGTTGACTGACTTAAAGGTAGCTAGGCACAAAAAAGATAGATTTTAAAGATAATAAAGGTAGAGGTGTGACTTAACCAATGCCTGTCAACTTAACCTTAGCACTGACAAAGGTGAAGGATTTCTAACTATGAAATCTTTAGTTCTGACAATTTGGAGAAAATGAAGAATTTCCAACTATGTGATTGGAAGCACTAGTATATAAGATCAAGGATCGAAGAAACGTAGAGAGAAACTACAAGTTGAATTCCAAGATTTTGCAACAGGTGACTGCTGATGAGCTGTATTAAGTTGAAGATACTCCTTTATACTTTGAAAGAAAAGTATGGTTGATAGTGCTAAGCCTTGGTCTGTTTATTTGAAGCGGGAGGGGGAGGTCAAGACTAAGTAACAGTTGCTGATTTTTCAGGAAATCTGATCTACTGATAGCTCGTTTTCTGTGAATTCTTCACATGTTTACAATATGAGCACTGTCGGCAACCTCCAAGTTTTTCACATTCATCTCACTGCCATAACCACGACCTCTCCGTCGCAAGCTTCTCGATTGTTTCAGAGCCAAATCAGCCAATTATTGGCATAGCCTACAAGATTGATGATGTCTTCTGCTATGGGAACACTACGATTAATCAAAATTTGGTTATGAAGAAATTCAAAATCTCTATTAAAAACCGTGTAAACAGATGGGAACTTCTGTTGTGAACACACTATGATTAGTCAACATTTGGTTCTGAACAGATGCCAAATACATGTGAAGTATATGAAAAATAAACACCATGCACATGATACGTGTTTTAATCATCTAGGTGAAGTCATCACTAACCAAAACGAAATTGACATCGTTAATTGCAGACGAAGAGTTATTCAAATATGATGGATTGGGGGGTAATTCGAAATGTAGCTAAACTATGAACCACAACATAATAAAGAACATCGTTTGATTAAAATTCTTTTGGCCATCTTCCAAATGTCATAACATAAGCCAATAGTTTTGCATCAATAAACTGCTTCGAAGCAACTGTTAAAAGTCCTACTTTGGATTGACTCTCTTAATCTTATCACATATCAAAACAACATGATATTGTAAAAATTTTATGCTAATATTGGTTAAAATTTGAACCTCAAAGGAATAGAGCAATAGACTGTTCATTTGGAAGCATTTGATTTGCTAAATTCTGAGTTTGCTCCCTTCTCTGGTTTTTCTGAATAAAAAAAATATATATTTGAGCGCCTTGGTTATTATGATTGGTAGTGATGGCACACCTTTTAAAAATTGGACAACTTTAGTTCAAATTTTAAAATTTGGACTTATATTTGAACTGTTTAATTTATTTGTCATAATTTTTGCATTGTAGGATAGTTTAGATTTTTAACACATGCATAGAACATTATGACGAAAGTTGATTTATGTAGTCGATCCCACTTAGTGGGATGGTTGTTGTATAGTTTCTATGCTTTTGTCATAAATTTATTCCTTCATTGTTACAATTACTGCCATTTGATTTTTCTAAATACTGAGGATGTTACATTCAGGAACTCTTAAAACTTAATGACTTTGAAATCATCCACGTTTTTTTTCATGACAACCAAGTTTTAAGATGAAATAAATTTCTAATACTAACATTGTTTTTGTTACTTCCTTATGCTGCTTGTAGTTTGAGGGAAGAAAGGTCGCAGCGCATTGCAAGATACAGAAACAGGCTACGGCTTTTGGTTCCTCCGCCGGCCTGAACAGTTTAGAAATGACACAACTGCCGGCTCTAAAGACATCTGGGTTACTAGATAACTCTTCACTGTAATGTAGTTGATTTAAAATCGTTTGCAGTTCCTTGAAAAGCAAGTTTATTCTCTGCGCTTGTAGCCAATGTAAAAATCTAAATAGAAATGAATATAGATTTTACATCTTTTCTCTATATTTTCTGGTATGGGTTGTCTTTGACCAATAAAATTGTAGTAGTTAGGGTTTGAGTGAGTAGAAATGAATCAGAAAACTGAGTCAACCTAATTTTTGTCTGTGTAATCTAGGATTGAGGTTTAACTTTATGATCTCATGTATACAATGTATGGCACGATTTGGACTTGCTTTAACTTAAAATTTTAAAAATTTGTTTACACTTGAAATTTTTGGTAAGTTTGTAGAAAAATGTTTTATTTGTGTGGTCCAGAATCGACAGCTTTTTCTATGAATTTTTCTATGAATTTCTGTGCTGATCTTACGGATCCACTAATGCTATATGTTTTTTTATGTAACACTAGTAAACCCAGGTGAATTTATTTTAATTTTGACGAAATTATTTTTATATACATATGAAAAACTCATTTTTATAGGCAAATAATATAATCATACAAAATATAATAATAAACTTAACAAAGGATGTAGTTAGATACATGTGAATTTAAATTGAAGTCCATAATTAACAATTATTGTATAAGTTCAATTATATTAAATAATAAAAAAACTTGTGACATGGAAAAGAAAAAAAAATATGACATTTGAACATAAAAATTTTGTCTTCAAATTAAAGAAAAACATTGTTAGCGACCGCATATGATAAAAAGTTAATTGTGAGAATGATTATCTAAATATTATTAAATTTGCTAAAATATATTTTTAATTTTATTGAAGTTAAAAAAATAAATTAATTAGTATTTTCAGTAATAATAAACAAATAAAATAGATTAAATATGTTCTAAATACAAATTTTTTTAATATATTGGTCAGATGAAAAGAAAGCATGAATTTTAATAGTGGCCACACATCTATTCATACAAAATAAAGAGTGATGAAAAAAACTCAATTGAATTAAATGCTTTAACCATACAAAAAGAGAAACGTGAACCCATAAAAAGAAAAAAATTAACATTTGAAAAATAAGGATTTTATTGAGCCATACATCTATGTTATTTCAAATATTTATGCTATTACTCAATTGGTTTGTTAGTATTGTTCATGTTGTTAGTTAAACCGCCCCCTAAATACAGCTCAAAAAATGTATTATATCAGCAGGGTATATCTTCATGAAAATCAAGGGTTCATTGACATGCAGGATGCTTAAACATGCATTTCCTACCTTATTCTTTTCTTTATTAACATTTTCTTCTCGTCATTTACTAAAAATGACATGCAGGTTACTGAAAACTTTTGCATTGCCTGCAGTTTCAGTAGAGTATTGAAATAATGAACATGTAATTATTATCAATGAGAAAAAAACACAAAGAATAAAAGTATCTATAATGATTGAGCTTCATCAACAAACAAATTCTAAAAATGTCTAATCAAGAAAAAGTCACACAAAAGCATTAGCTACTTATTATGCTTAAGAAATACATGGCTTCAAACTAACTAAGGTAGAACGAAATATGTAGCTAAAGATGTGTGTAAGCTCACTATGTGGGAAGATATATTTCATTCAACAACTTAATGCTAAATTTTCAAACAATCTTCACAACAATTTCAAATCTATAGCAGCAACTACATAGCAAAAAGGAATTGCACAACAAAAGGATTAGGATCCTGATGAATGGTTACTCCTTTTCTTAAGTTGTCCTGCGCCGAAAGTAAGACATGTGTTCCTATAAATGGAAAAAGAACTTCAGTTATGTTTAGAGAAGCAACGAAGCAGGGCAAATGTGAGGAATCTAAATTGAAAAGATATTCAAAACTACTGATGTTAAGATATTTTTATTTAAATTCATTCCAATTTTAATCCAACCTAGCACATAATAGAGAAACTCTTCCAAGAAAGTGAGGATAAAAAAGTTATCTCAAACAAACTAAGAGCAAAAAACTTTTCTCAAATGCAACCATTTAACAATCAATTTTCAGTTTCCTAATTTAATAAATAATTCTTTAGAGTATTGTGATATTATTAAGCTTTGATGACCAAGAACTGTGTCTTAATACCGATAACTACTACTGATTGCCAACTTCAATAAGCTATGGGTCCTAAAGAACTTTTAATCCAAACAATAATAGACAGAGTCAAACAAATCTAGTATAGAATGTAAAACAGTTCGGGTATAATAGAAGTAATGACAATATTTAAATATGTAGAGCATCCATATAACAGAAGAATAATAAGTTCAAAACACCAATGAATTATAAACCGATTTTCGTAAGCACAAGTACAAAACAGAAATAGTAGCATGAGCAAACTGAGACGCATCTTATGAAAAACATTATCCATGACATGTAGCAAAATTCATAAACAGAAACCTATATTAAACAAATTAGAAATATAGTATACATTTGAATTTATCAGTCGGTTTAATGTATATTGCCTGCAATTTCTGGCCTTTAAGCATTTGTTCTTCTAGTTCATCGAAACAAAATTCAAATCGAATGTGCTTCTCCTACTGACAGAATTTATAGGAATGGCATACATCTGAAATATCAATTTTAAAATCAGTGTTAATGAGACAGTGCAAATGTCATTTACTTACCAAAGACAAAAGTGTTAAGATACCACAATGTTAAAAACGGCAACATAAGCTTGATACAGGCAGTACAGTTGGAAGTTGAAAGACAATCATCTTTGGCTGCTCACTATTGTCCTGCATAAAAAATTTATGCATTATATATCACAATTACAACTGCATAATGATAGGTCATTCTGATTAATTATCAACTGTTGTGTCCTAATTTTTGTCTCTAAGATCCCTTCATCATACCATATTGATTCAATCACAATAAAATCACATTAAGGCTTTTGGTTCTCCTCCCAATCTTTAAATTTGCTCTTTGAGGAATCACCAAGCACCTTTACTTGTTTTTCTTTTGTGATCATACATGTTTTGTTTTGACTTTCCTTTTAATTAATAAAATGCAATGTTGGTTTGTCTTACTTGTTAATAATGTAGGTAAAGGCAATGTGGCTTAACAAGTTGATCAATGAGTTCATGAGTTTATTTCCATACCCTAGTCAATAAAGCTTGAGAAGTTCAAACTTCACCATTGATATTTTGGAAGAAATGGCATGACAAGGTTTATCTTGGTTCACCACATTTCAAAGTTATCAAGATTGATTCAAAGGTACAAGGGGTTGATTGAAGAAGTTGTCATGTTTGGACAAGGCTTTGTTCACATTGGTCACAAGTGCATATTTCTCTTAATTCTCAAGATATGGAAGTGATTTTGGTGGCTATGAGTTCTCATTATCATCCTCAACAACTTCTATTTACAAAGCAAAAGTGTTGGTACAAGAAGGTTGTTCAAAATTGTCAAAGTTCCTCAAAGTATTTTCTTGATCTATGAGCTAGGGTTTTGAACTTCAAAGAAGTATATCTTGCTCATCTTTTGGTATTTTTGAGTGATTCCAAATACATCCTTCTCTTCAAAAGGTTATTAACAAATCACTTCAAAAGTTTCAATGAGTTTTCATGTGGAAGAAGCTTTATGATGAAGAAAGATTACAAGTCCTCCAGATGAATCCCCAATTTCTAAAGTGTGACTTCAAATGATCATAACTCGGTCAATTCTTATCACCTTGAGCCCACTCTTTTTCTAAAATTATCTTGAGGATGTGAATTTTATTCCTTCTTTTATGTGCAAAGTGAGAAAATGGATGGAAGATGCCCTAAGGATATAAAAGATTATAGGTCATTTCATGATTTTTTGCCAACTTCAACAATTCATAACTCTCTCAATTTTTTGGAGATTTTGAATGGTTCAAGTCTCAAAATGTCATTCAAGAGGTATATTTCATGCCATCTTTTTTTGGTCAAGAGCAGATTCCAAGTGGAAGGCCGTGTTTGGATGCAAAACATTATAGGTCACTTTTAAAGAAAAACTTGAAATATTTCTAAGTATGGAAAGTCAACTTCTTTTTCCCAACTTTGACTCATTGTAACTTTCAGCTCAAACATCCATTTGATTTCATTCTTTTTCCATTGCAAAGCTTGTAACCTCATTTTTCTAAAACATCAAGAATCATGCCCTAAGACCCCTTGAACTGAGAATGCCATTGTTTTGAAATTGGTAACTTGAAACTGAAGTTTCTTCAAAAGTCAGAATTTGAAATCCTTGATTTAGCTTCTAAACACATTGTTCCTGCGCGTTTTTGATTCTAAACATGTTTAGTGAACTTCCAGAAGTGATTAGCATAGCAAAACGCGCGTTTTGGATGAGTTTTGATCAATATAGAAGTCACACTTTTCTTGTTTGCAACTTCACACGATTTCCCTTCAAACTTCATCATTTCACACGCTTGAACATTCCATTTGATTCCCTATAAATAGATGGTCATCTCTCATTCATTTCCTCAAGCTTGAACAACCAGAATCACTCTACCAAACTTGCTCCATAACTCATTTTTATGCAACTTCGAAATCAGTGTTCAAGCCTTTTTCAATCCATTTTTTCTATCAATTCACCTTCCTTTATCTTCTCTGAAGCTAACCATACAATTATCTTCAAGAATCGTGACCTATATTGATCCATAGAAGTCCAGTTTCAAAGCTCTGCAACTCAACTTCAAAAGGTACATTTCTCCATCAATTCTTCAAAACTTTGATATCATTGTGAAGCTCTCATTGCCCTGGTTCTAGTCGCAACACTTGCTTTTATCTGGAAACACATTTTGGCTATGAAATTTCAAATCCCTTTTTAAAATTTTTCTTCCAAATTGCTTGAGCTACAGTTAATATAAATTTGTCGCGAATGTGTGGTTGTCTTCGTCTTGAAGAGACGAAGCGAATGACATAGGTCTCGTTCTCTAATTTTACAGATTGAG